GTATTATCCTGATACCAAAGCCAGATAATGATGTCACATGAAAAGAAATCTCCAGGCCAATATCCTTTGTGAATATAGATGCAAAAATCCCCGATAAAATATTAGCAACCTGAATCCTACAGAGCTTAAAGATGATTATACATTATAACCAAGTGAAATTTATCCCAGAAATGCAAGAGAAGTTCAACATATGAAAATCAATCAGTGTAAGTAACCATGTTAATAGAGAAAAGGAAAGATAAAAACACATTATCATGTCAATGCAAAAAAAGGGGGAGATTATTGCTTTGGAGTACTGAGTTTTGGTTTACAGTGGTGGAAAAAATCACATTGATTAAGGGTAGGGTTGCACAGCCAATTAATGTAATTGATGTCAGTAAATAGTGTACCAAAAGTTTAACTGGCAAAATTTATGTGATAGATGTATTTCCAACAACTACAACAAAATGAGTAGCTGCTGAGGCTGCTTATGTGCAACCAAATACATCATGGAATTTGTTTCCTTGATTTGGAGGTTTAGAATCATGGTTTCTTTGGACATCCCAGTTAACTGGCTTAATCCTGTGTTTAGTGCTTCTGTTTTACCTTAGTTTGTTGTGTAGTGCCTGGCATCTTAAAAGCTTGCAAGTGGTCACCCAAGGTACAACTGTTGGTCTCTATTTGCCTGGAGCAACAGAGGAAGAAAGAGAATCAGGAATAAGAGAAAGAAATTGAATGTGAAGCTAATTGCCCCCGTGAACAATTGCCTCCTTTGCCATGAGACCAGAGGATCTAGATGGTACCTGGTACCAATGCTGAATGTTTTGATCAAAGATTCTATAGAAGAATTCTGATCAAAAGGGGGAAAATGTAGAAAAAACTTAAAATTTTCGTGGAATCCAGATTTTAAGGGCCATGGAGGCTGGATGAATCCCTGAAACTATTGCCCTAAGATAATCTTTAAATCTTAAACCAAAAATATCCCCTGAAGTTTTCTCAAAAACCAAACAGTAGTTTAGTTTAACTAGTAAGGAATTTCTGCCTTAAACATTTAGCTCCTCTAAGATCTGTGTATATGGGGTCAAACTGAAAACAGCAGATTGAAAGATTAGACAGGAAACTTAGGATGCAGTGAGTTTATGTTAATTGGGAAAGAACAGCTAGGAAAAGAAGAGTGAGAATGATTGAACAGCTCAAAGAATGTACTAAATGTCACTGAATTATACATGTAGAAATTGTTGAATTGGTGTATGATCTGCTGTGTATATTCTCAACAACAATAAAAATAGAATAAATTATTTTAAAAAATGTGCTCACTCCAATACCCTTTCATGATAAAAACACTCAACAAACTAGGAATGGAAGGGAACTTCCTCAACATGATGAAGTGCATTTATGAATAAACCCACAGCTAATATTATACACAATGGTAAAAGAATGAAAGCATTCTCCTTAAGAACATGAACAAGGAAAAGATGCCTATTTTTATCACTTATATTCAGCATTATACTGAGAGTTCTAGACAGAGTAATTGGACAAAGAAAAGAAATAAAAGGCATCTGAATTAGAAAGGAAGAAGTTATCTCTGTTTGCAGAGGACATAATCCAATATATAGACACTCCACAGAACATTCTGTTAGAGCTAATAAATGAATTCAGCAATGTTTCGGGACGAATGCTCAACACGCAAAAATCTATTATATTTTTATTCACTATCAATGAATAATCCAAAATTGAAATTAATAAAACAATTCCATTTACAATAACATTAGAAGAATGAAATACTTAAGAATAAATTAAAACAAGAAGATGAAAAACTTGTACACTGAAAAGTACAAAATATTGTTCAAATAAAGAAAACCTAAATAAATGGAAAGACATCCAATGTTAATGGGATATTAACATTGTTAAAATGTCAATACTACTGAAAGCAATCTACAGATTCAATTCAATACTATCAAAATTCCAATGTCCTTTTTTTTCGCAGAAGTGGAAAAGCCTATCTAAAATCTATACGGTATTGGGTGGGAGCTCAGATAGTCAAAAACAATCTTGAAAATGAACAAAGCTTGAAGACCACACTTCTCAATTTCAAAACTTATTAAAAAGCTAAAATAATCAAAACAGTGTGGTTCTGGCAGAAGGATAGATATATAGATCAATGGAATTGAATTGAGAATCCAGAAATAAAGTCCTGCATCTAGGACCAATAGATATTTGACAAAAATGCCAACATCATTCTATAAAGAAAGAATAGTTCCACAAATGTTTCTGCAACAACTAGATATCCACATGCATGCAAAATGACAAAGGTGGCTCCCTGTTTTACACCATATAGGAAAATTAACTCAAAATGGATCTAAATGTAAGTATGAAAACCATAAAATTCTTGGAACAAAATATTGGGAAAATCTTCAAAAGTTTGGATTTGGCAATGAATCCTTAGATAGGACAACAAAGACAAAAGCAACAAAGGAAAAACTAGACAAATGGACTTCATCAAAATTAAAAACTTTTGTGCATCAATAAACATTATCTAGAACATGAAAAGATAACTTGCCGAATGGGAGAAAATATTGTAATTTATATATTTGATAAGGGTCTAGTGTTCAGACTATATAAAGAACTTGTACAACTCAACAACAAAAAAACAAATAACTGAATTATAATATAGGCAAAGTACTTGAACAGACATTCCTCTATAGAAGATATACAAATGACCAACAAGCATGTGAAAAGATGTTCAACATCATTAGTCATTATTAGGGAAATGCAAACTCAAACCATAATGAGATACCATTCACACCCACTAGGATTGTTGAAGTGATCAGTTGCTTAGTGGTTAAGCGCCTGACTGGTAACTGAAAGGTTGGTGATTTGAACCTACCAGCTGCTCAGCAGAAGAAAGATGTGGCAGTCTGCTTCCATAAAGATCTACAGCCTTGGAAACTCCATGGGGCAGTTCTACTCTGTCCTATAGGGTTGTTATGAGTTGGAATCGACTCAGCGGTAATGGGTTAAGGATCGCTATAGGTGGCGTTGGCGCTTTAGTGGTAGAATTCTCACCTTGCATGAGTGAGCCATAGTTTTGATTCCTGGCCAAGGCATGTCACGTGCAGCCAACAACCATCTCTTAGTGGAGGCTTGCAGAGGCTTGCTTGTTGCTATGATGCTGAATAGATTTTAGTAGAGGAATAGATTTTAGTGGAGGACTAAGATGACTAGGAATGAAGGCCTGGCAATCTACTTCTGAAAATCAGCCAAAGAAAACCTGAAGGATCACAATGGTCCGAAATGCAACCAATCGTGGGGATTGCTCAGGACCAGCAGCATTCTGTTCGTGGGATCACCATCAGTCAGGGGCTGCCTTGATGGCAGCTAACAACAGCAACAACAGGAGGGCTATAGTTAAAAAAAAAAAAAAAGAAAAGGAGAAGTGTTGGTGAGGATGTGGAGAAATTGAGACTCTTGTGGTAGGAAGGTAAAATTGTCCAGTCACTGTAGGAATCAGTTTGATAGTTTTTCAAAAAGTTTAACATACAATTACCATATGACCTAGCATTTCCACTTCTAGGTACATACCCAAAAGAATTAAATATTGGGAAAAAACAAAACAAAACTTAAAATATACTTTATTCACTTCTATCTTAGCAAATCTTTCTTTAAGAATATATTTGAAGAAAATAGTTACGGATGCGCAGTTTCCCTACAGGATGTAGTTTCCTGATTCTTCGTCACAGTAATATCTATGTAGTGTCCGTCATAATTTTGTTCATACCAAGTTGTGCAGAATGTTCATACAGTTGAAGATCAGTTGAGCAATGAGCAATGTGTGATATGAGGGAATGTTATGTAGCATTGGATGGATGGACAAATGGATGGACAGATGGATGGATGGACAGATAAACAGAAAAGTAGGTAGGTAGGTAGACAGGCAGAGAGACAGAGGAAGAAGAGATGGAGGGAGAGGGACAAATATTTACGATATTTGTTATTTAATAAAAACTAAAATTTTAATATTTTTGGACCATTGCACAAAGATAACAAGGGTTATTCCTTGGATAAGGGGATTACAGACGATCTTTAAAAATTTTCTTTGTTCCTCTGAGTTTTCTCATTTTTCTGTAATAAATTATTACTAAAACAATAAAAATTATAAAATGTAACAGGAGGTCGTGAATGAAGAGATAATAATTTTATTTTGGACAGGTTAATTTGAGTGTTGAAGTCATTTTATTTTCTTAATAACTTTAATAATGATTAAACCCAGCAATGATTCCTGTCAGGGTATAGAGAACCTGAAATTCCATTATGCTAAGCAATAGACTAAATATAAGAAGAAAAGGTGTGTAAAAAACATTTAATCTCAATCAAAACCACCTATTATGGATTGAATTTTTATCTCCCGAAAGTAAGTGTTGTAAATCCCAACCCCTATACCTGTGGCTGTAATCCCCTTTTGGAATAGAGGTCTCTTTATTACGTTAAATGAGGCGGTATTAGTGCAGGATGTGTCCTAAATCAGTCTCTTTTGAGATATAAAAGAGCAGAACTGGGGATAGAGTTTTCTTTGTTAGGTTAATGAGGCTGTATCAGTGTAGGGTACGTCTTAACCTACGCTGATATTGCCTTATCATCTTTAAGATATAAGAAGAGCAGATTAAGCACAGGGACAAGGAAGCACACATGGGGGAAGACAGTTGCCATACCTCTTGAAGATCGCCAAGGAACCAAGGAACAGAAGCTGAAAAGAGACAAGAATCTTTCCCCAGACCCAACAGAGAGAGAAAGCCTTCCCCTAGAGCTGGTGCCCTGAATTTGGGCTTCTAGCCTCCTAAATTGAGAAAAATTTCTGTCTGTTAAAGCCATCCGCTTGTGGTAGGTATTTCTATTATGATAGCAGCACCAAATAACTAAAATACCACCCTAGGTTTTTCTTTCTCTGATCTTTCTTTTTTCTGATTCTTTATAATTAGCTATTAAGTGTATCTATTAGCAAGAATTTTTTTTTTTATTTCTAGATAATGGAACTGTGCAAACGTGTCCATGAAGAACTTGAAGAAGCTAAAGAAAACTGCGAAAATGCCAAACAAAAGGCTGAAGAAATTAAAGTCGAAATGGATCAAGATCTTAAACGTGTTGAAGCAAGCTTGGATGTCTACAAGTAAGAATTATTCACTAATGATACTTACAGCATTTAATAATGTTCCTTTCTAAAACAATTAATTTAAAATGTAACATATATTCCCATACAAAAATTTCAGATAAAGAGAAAATACCCGTCTATCTTATCACTAAGTTTATGTATATTTAAAAAATACGTTTCATACTTATGTAAATATGTGTGTGCATAAATTCCAGGAGTCCCTGGATGGTGCAGATGGTATATCTAGAACACCACCATACTTCTTTATTTCTGCTTCTACAGTGTGTCCTCCACCATCTCTGTCTCCACCCCATCACTGAATTAAGATACTAATCTTCACTGGATGAGATCACTTGGGAAAGTCTCAGCTTCAAATTCCATCCATATGATGATGTCTCCCTTTGTGGTCAATCATTTTTGTTTCTCCCTAGTTACTTGTCGCTTTAATTTTCATTTCTGTAGTCAGGTTGTGTCTTTAAATTTCATTTGACTCTACCTTTGGCATCAGAGTTGGTGCATGGGAACCTGAGCCAATTCAATAAGCATGCCATATGTTTATAGGTCATTCACATTTCTTCTCTTGTGAATCACTTATTTATATTCTCTGCTCATTTGTCTATTGGTTAATTTTTTTATTTCTTACTGATTTGTAGGAGTTGATTATATATAAACAATTAACTCTTTTTTCTTTTATGACTTGCAAATAAATCTCCCAGTCTATTTGTCTTTTCATTTATGGTGTCTTAAAAAAATTGGGATTATTTGTATTAAATATTGATATTTTACAAAAATGACAATTTTTATCATTTTCTTTGTGCTTTTTCCTTCCATTAAACCCAAACACTATTATGTAAAGACACTTTTATATTTGGAATGTGTGTTCTAACTCCCAGGTAAGATAAAGAACTATGTGGTTCACAGGTCCTTTGCAGAGGGTCATGCAGGAACAAAGACCTCCTTGTCAATTACTTCTCTTTATTTCTAGTTCCCCCCATTTTATCTCTAATACTGGGAGGGAAACCTAACCCTAAATTAAGGTTATAAGAACTAGGTGCTTGGTCTTTTCACCTCTACCTCTTCTTCTCTTTTTTTTTCTCATTTTTTTCTACCTTTCCATCCCTGCCCCACCCAATCTCTGAATCAGAGGTGCTTAAGTCTCTTACTTAAAGTCAAACCAAAATGTGGTTTGTGTTACACACCAACTTCTGATCATTTATGCATCACTTTTTTTTTTTCTCAATTCCTTTCCCTTGGAAGTATAAATACTACTAGTGATTTTTTTTTTTTTGTTTGTTTAATTAATTTCTAAGTGGTTGTTAGTTGCCATTGAGTCAATTCCAACTCATGGCAACCCCATGTGTGCAGACTGGAAATTGCTTCATAGGGTTTTCAAGGCTATGACCTTTAGGAAGCGGTAAATGAGGGTTGTATTTCAAGGCAACTCTGGGTGGGTTTGAACCACCAACCTATTGGCTAGTAGTTGATCATTTAACTGTTTGTGCCACCCAGGGACTCCTGGCACTTTGCAGGAATTGGGGAGCTGCTCTGGGATGGGAGAAATTTTAGGGATAAATAAATTCTATTGATTCATACTGTGAAGTCAGAAACTAATTTAAATATACTTTAAATTTAGTTGTCTTTTCAATGTAACAAAATCAGTCGTGTTTTTCTCTTAGGAAAGAGATAGATAAACTCAATAGTCTATATCGTCACTACTCCACATCTATAGAAAATGTTAACTTGGATATTGAGGAGAAAGAAGAGACAGTGACTGAAGCACTGAAGGAAACAAAGTCATCAACAAATGAATTAGCTACTTTATCAAGAAAGGTGAGTTTTTTCATGTTTAAAAATTAAAAAAATACTGATTTTAGTTATAAGCCCTGAATATGAAATCTTTGTCTTCAATAATTAAATAGCAGTTAACTAATTTTCTGTTTCATTACTTTTCTATTGCTATTATAAAAGATTACCACAGATTCAGCAGCTTAAAATAGCCCCCATTTACTATTCCAAAGTCTCTCTGCGTCAGAAGTCAGGGCACAGTGTGGCTCAGTTGGTTCCTCCGCACCCGGTCTCAGAAGACCAAGATCAAGTTATCAGCAGGCCTGCGTTCCTTTCAGGAGATTTGAGAAATGAATCTGCTTTCAGGCTCATTCAGGTTACTGGCAGGATTCAGTTGCTTGTGGTTATAGAACTGAGGTCCTTGTTTGCTTGCTGGCTGTCAGACGAGGGCTGGGGCTTGGCTATTCTCAGCTTCTAGAAGCTGCCTACATTCCCTGGCTCATGGCTCCCTTCATCTTCAAAACCAGCAATGGTAGGTTGAGTACTTTTCATTCTTCGAATCTCTCTGACCTTCTCTTATGCGTTCCTGCTTTCCTCTTCTGCCGCATCTCATTAATCTAGTAAAAGGAAACAATAGTAAATGGAAATAATAATATACTAAAAGGAAATAATAGTATAATAAAAGGAAATAATATACACATTCCTGTTCCAATTTACACTTCCCACCTAGTGTTTAAAAAGGTGTTCCTTTGCCACTTTTTATTATAAGGCTCTTTAATTGCATCTCTTTATAACTTTATATTAATCCATAATTATTAGTAGGACTGAGTGTATTTTTTATACTACTTTAGATGAAGGTTTGCAGAGCAAATTAATTTCTCATTAGACAATTAATACACATATTGTTTTGTGACATTGGTTGCTAATCCCTCAGTGTGCCAACAGTTTCCCCTTCTCGACCTTGGGTTCCCCATTACCAGCTTTCCTGTCCCCTTCTGCCTTCTTGTCTCTGCCCCTGGGCTGGTGTGGCCATTTAGTCTCATTTTGTTTTATGGGGCTGTCTAATCTTTGGCTAAAGGGTGAACCTCAGGAGTGACTTCAGTACTGAGTTAAAATGGTGTCCGGGGGCTGTACTCTTGGGGTTTCTCCAGTCTCTGTCAGACCAGTAAGTTTGATCTTTTTTTGTGTGTTAGAATTTTGTTCCACATTTTTCTCCAACTCTGTCCAGGACCCTCTATTGTGATCCCTGTCAGAGCAGTTGGTGGTGGTAGCTGGACACCATGCAGTTGTGCTGGAGTCAGTCTGGTAGAGGCTGTGGTAGTTGAGGTCCATTAGTCCTTCGGACTAGTCTTTCCCTTGTGTCTTTGGTTTTCTTCATTCTCTCTTCCTCCGGATGGAGTGGGACCAGTGGAGTATCATAGATGGCTGCTCACAAGCTTTTAAAACCCCAGATGCTACTCACCAAAGTAGAATGTAGAACATTTTCTTTATATACTGTTATGCAAATTTAGCTAGATGTCCCCAGAGACCATGGTTCCCATAGCCCTCAGCCCCATAATTAGGTCCCTCAGGGAATTTGGATATGTCTGTGAAGTTTCCATGACCTTGCCTTGGTCAAGTTGTGCTGACTTCCCCAGTATTGTGTACTGTCTTACCCTTCACCAAAGTTACCACTTATTTATTGTCTAGTTGGTGTTTTTCCCTTCCCACCCCTCCCCTCCCTAGTAACCATCAAAGAATGTTTTCTGTTTGTAAACCTTTTCCTGAGTTTTTATAATAGTAGTCTCATACAATATTTGTCCTTTTATGATTGACTTCTCACTCAGCATAACGCCCTCCAGATTCATCCATGTTGTGAAATGTTTCACATATTCATCATTGTTCTTTATTGCTGAGTAGTATTCCATTGCATGTATGTACCATACATAGTTTGTTTATCCATTCATCTGTTGATGGGTATCTAGGTTGTTTCCATCTTTTTGCTATTGTGAACAATGCTGCAATGAACATGGGTGTGCATATGTCTATTTGTGGTGATGGCTTTTATTTCTCTAGGATATATTCCTAGGAGTTGGATTGCTGGATCATACTGTATTTTTATTTCTAGCTTTTTAAGGAAGCATCATTTTCTTTTCCAAAATGGTTGTACCATTTTGCATTCTCACCTGCAGTGCATGAGTTCCAGTCTCCCCAACACCTCTCCAATAGTTGTTATTTTCTATTTTTTTTTTTATTTGTGCAATTAATGTCCGGGTGAGATGGTATCTCATTGTGGTTTTGATTGGCATTTCTCTAATGACTAGTGATCACTAACAATTTCCTTATGTGTTTGTTAGCAGCCTGAATGTCTTCTTTGGTGAAGTGTCTGTTCAGATCCTTTGCCCATTTTTTAATGGGATTATTTGTCTTTTTGCTGTAGAGGTGTTGGATTTTCCTATAGATTTTAGAGATTAGAACTTTGTCAGATTTGTTATAGGCAAATTTTTTTTCCCAGTCTGTAGGCACTTTATCTTTCGGTGAAAGGATTGAGCATATTTTAATGGTTTTTCTGGGGGTCATTTGTATTTTCTTTTCTATGAAAAAGCTGCTCATGTCTTCCCTTCCCCCCATTATGTTGGGTAGTTGCTTATCTTTTAATTGGTTTGTACGGATTTGTTGTATATTATGGATACTAAACCTTTATCAATCACATACGTTAAAAATATTTTCTCCCAGTCTTCATTTCTTTGGAGCCCTGGTGGCGCAGTGGTTATGACCTTGGCTGATGACCAAAAGGTCAGCAGTTCAAATCCACCAGCTGCTTCTTGGAAACCCTATGGGACAGTTCTCCTCTGCCCTATAGGCTCTTAATGAGTCGGAAACAACTCTAGGACAATGGGTTTCATTTCTTTCTGGTAAGTTCTGATGACAAGAAATTTCAGTTTTAATGTAGTAAAAGTTATAAATATTTTTGTTGAGCTGTGTTCTTTCCTGAACTGGTTTAAGAATGTTTTTCTAATGCAGAATAATAAAAAGAAATTCTCCCATTATTTTAAATGTTTTTTAATTTTGCTTTTCATCTATAATATGAAATTTATGTATAAGTATGGTATGAAGTGCATCTCCAATTAAATTTCTTCTTATACAGAAAATAAACTGTTACAATAAAATGTACTGATGTATCTTTTCTTTATATATTAATATTCAGTGTCATCCCTGTCACACAGCAAGCTTCCATATTTATGTGGCTCTCTTTTTTCATTCCCTTTCTTCTGTTTGTTCTACTTAATCATCTTTACCGCAATACTCCATGTCTACATTTTTAAAATTCTATAATGAGTCTTGATTATCTATTATGGAGAAAACAAACTGTTACATTTCTTCAGGAATTTTAGGCTATTCTTGGCCCTTATCCTTCCATATAAATTTTAACACTGTCTTATTCAGTTCTTTCAGAAATTTTGTTGGAATTTTACTGGAATTGCATTTATTTATGATGATTTGGCAGAGACATAAAATCTTTATGATCGGGCTTCCTAACTGTAAACATGATCTATCATTCCATTTATCTAGGATTCTTTCCAAATTGGACCTAAACCAGTTTCCTTTGAACCTTATAGAAAGCAAACTCTGTTTGCAAATTACCCTGTGATCAATCTTGGACAAATTAACCTTTCCCTCTTCATAGAATTTTAAAGTTATCTTTTTAAAATTGATTTTTAATGAAACTCTTATTTGTTCATAAAGGTGGTCTTATGTACTAGAAGTTGTTTAAGATTTGTTAAGACTTAATTTGTCATAATATATAGGCAATTGCATTAATGTCCATTTGGAATAAAAGTGTTTTCTCTGCTTTTGAGAAACAATTCTAAATAGGTTCACTTTGTCAATTATGCTAATTGTATTATCTGTCTTTTTTATTTCTGACTTATTTTTGACAGACGTATCAATTATTTTGAAAACTGTGTTAAAATATCTCAATATGATAGTGGCTTTCTCCATTACTTTTTCTACATTGCAGTTTTTTTCCCTTTATATAATTTGAAGCCATATATTTAGATGAAAATAAGTTTAGAATATGTAGAATTATAATAAACTATTCCTGGAATTTTTGGAATGCATATTTCACTTACTAGATCTGAAGCAAAATCAACATCTTTACCTTCTCCCTGAATTGTTTAAGAACCTGATCATTATTTCTTCACATATATTCCTTTTTCCCATCATTTTATGCCTGTCTTTTTTATTAACCACACCAGAAACCAAATCCGTTGCCGTCGAGTTGGTCCTGATTCATAGCGACCCTACAGGACATAACAGAACTGCCCCATAGGGTTTCCAAGGAGCAGCTAGTGGATTCGAACTGCCAACCTTTTGGTTAGCAGGTGAGCTCTTAACCACTGTACCACCAGGGCCCCATCTTTTTTATTACTCCCTGTATATTAGCTATTTTTTGTTTACATAATAAATCTTTGCTTATATTTATCCCCAGTTTAACATTTTCCACAAAACTCTCCTTTTTTATTCAACCTTCCTACTGGGATTGTTATTTTCTTTTGTGTTGCTAAAGTATATATCTTACAAGCTTCTCTGATGAGATTCAAGTCACGGTAAATTCTCAAAATTTTATTTCTCTGAAAATGCCTTGATATTATCCTTATTCCTGCAATGTAGGCAATATGCACCAGAGTTAGTAGGCAAGTGACTTACACCACTGTGTAGGTGACAGAGAAGTATACAGAAGTAAACAGGGCTGAAGACACTGGATAAAAATCACTAAAATAAAAAGCACTAGGCTGAAGTGCCAGAGGGGATATGATGGGATCTATGAGTTGGGAGAAGTTTATCTTCAGTAGATAGTACTGCAAGTCACTCTCTGATTCACCCTTACTTATCTTTCCAGCCTCTTTTGATACCTCTTTCCCTCTAACTCTATACCCTAACCAAATGGAACTACTTGAAGACCTAGAATGTGCCTTGTGCTTTCTTTCTTCCAACTCTTCACCAATACTGTTTCCGCTAATTATAAAGTCAAATTCAACATTGCTTCTCACCATTGTCTGGTT